ATCCTTTCCCACGTGAAGTCAGACGGAAGGCAATGGAGGAGGAGCTGGATAAGGATTTTGACCCAAACAAGGAGGTAGGGATAAAGCCTTAGTTTGCAAATTTTGCTAATGTTTTGATCGTGTTACAATTACTAACACTTTGACCTCCCGTGTATATAGGCCCCTCCTAAAACTCCAAAAAGACGACATCGACGTCCACGACATCTCGCTGGACAAGACAGAGCAAAGGGAGGGAGATCAGAGGCAACAACCACAGAGTTGGACATTGCCGCCTCTGCTCCACAACCCCAAGCCATGGCCACAAACTCGGGTACCAAGCCAAAGAGGAAATGGGGGGACAGAAAAAATAACCAATATCTAGATAAGGCATGCTATGTGATCACAGAGGTTGGGCTAGCAGGGAAGATCCGTCAGTCAAAGCATCTTAGAGGACAATTCTGTAATACGATCGGGGCCCTAGTACGAGATCAGTTGAACCCAGCTGTCATCAGCTGGAAAAAGTACCAGAGGAGACAAAGAAAGATCTTTGAGAGAAGTTCCTAATGGTCCATTTTTGGTTTTCGGAGGGAAGGCATCAACTGGGAAAACGTCAAGCTCTGAAGATAATGGGAAAGTCATTCCAATGTTAGAAGTCAGACCTCAACAAGAACTATATCCAAAAGGGGTTAACACCCTTCAATGAGTTCAGCCACATAACTCCTAGTCAATGGGTGGACCTTGTGGCTTAGAAGACTTCACCAAAAGCATTGGCCCTTAGTGCCCGTAACACTGAGCTGGCGAAGAACAAATACCACCATCGTCTAGGCCCCGGTGGCTACTATGGCAAGGAAGAGTAGTTAGGAAGATGAAGAGACCACCTCATCCGGGTCATTCTCCTTGAGTGGGTTGAAGGTACGCTCAAGGAGCTAGATCCTTGGGAGGAACACTAGTATAGAAGCATCTAGTGGGCTTAAGTTTAATAACCTAGAGACGGAACAGGCAGTATCAAAGATACTTAAATATGCTGAAGATAAGGAGAAGGGCTCATTCAAGCCTTCCAAAGAGAGGGACAAGCTTAACCTTGCCTTGGGAAACCCCGAGCACATAGGCCACACCAAGGGGCTAGGGAAAAGAAAGACTTGGAAGCATGGATTCGAAGAGGACCAACACAGGTACAAGAAACATGGCAGAGACAGAGTGGCTAATCTTGAGCTCACCATGAAGGCTCTAGTTGCGAAGGCGCTGGAGGAGCAAGGACTGTCTTTGGAGCCAAGGATAGTAATGGTGCCCCCAGGAGAACTGGCATTAGTTTGCAGCCCTCCGGATGTTCCTAGCAGCCAAGGTTCCACTGCAGCCACAACCCCCATCGATCGCATATGGGAACCAACTAGTTGCACCTTGGTGGTTCACATTAGTAGGCAGAACACTATGATGGAGGTGACAAAGGGTGTGGCACATCCTCCTAGCGGCTTGCATCATAATAATAAGATCCTATCAGACTACACTAGAGTCGAGCTGCATTTCGTGAAGCCCGAGTTCATGCAGTGGAAGATAGATCACCCAACTCCCGAGGGACTGACGCTACTCGGACAAGTAATGAACCAATTCATCCTCTAACACAAATGAGACATTGTATTGACCACTTCTTCACCGCCTAGTCAATGCTTGGAGGGACTTTTTGAGGAGGGGGAGATACTTTCACCATCTCATGACCACCACTTGCCTGAGATGCTATATTCTTCCCTGCCTCCTAGCGAGCACGTGCATGAGATGCCATGGCCTATACCACAGTCTTCCCCGCCTCCTAGCGAGCACATGCCTGAGATGTCACAACCTTCTCTGCCTCATAAGGAGCAAGGGCCTCCTAGCAAGCACGTGCCTCCAGAAGAAGTTCATGCACAAGAGGGTGCCCACAAGGAGCCAGAAATTCAGCAACAGATTCCAATCACGATAAGGCCAATTTATATGCCGATAAAAGATGTCACATCGACGTGTAAGTGGTATGCCCATGACCAGTTCAAGCCTAAGAACCAAGTCAAAGAAGTCCCACCATCCGAGGATACCCTCAGCCGTAAACCGACAAAGAGGTATCCAAATGTTGATCACACCAAATGGTCAAAGGATTGCCCGAAAACCTATGAAAGAGGCAAGCCCTTCCTACCAAACCAGGACATCCAGCGCCTATCACTTGGAATGAAATGGTTCCATGATTGGTCCTTGCGTGCTCTCCAAACCAAAATACAAATCATACAAGCACGCTTCCTGGCCAACACATTTGGAGGCTCAGATGGGGTAATTGCCTTTGACTTCAATGACGTTCAGACAATGTTTCACCTCAGAGAAATGAAAATGAATCTAGTTTGCACGTGATGCCTGTAAGTCCTTGTCCTCTTGATATAATATGATTCTAATCTTTGGATTTTGTTGTAACTAACCCACGGCGTGATTTATAGAATGCAAGCGCACATTTCAAAACAAATGCCAAGTGTGCGATCGGGGTACGTAGACCCTCAATGTATAGCACAACCAAACTTCAATTACGCCAAAGAATGGTCACTGGATGGCGAAGAGCTAGCTGCTGGAAAGACCGTTGAGGAGAAAAAGGAAATCCGGAACAAGGAAATAAGGGAGGCGGCCCTTAAGACAGCGGCGTACATAGCCCTAGATTTTAAATACCTCCAAAATAACCAAGTTATATGGCTGCCATACAACTTCGAGTAAGTCCAACTATATGCTTAAAGCTTTAACAATACACATTGTTTTGTTCGATGCAAAAGAGCTTATTGGTTTCTATGATTAAATTTATGCAGCAACCATTAGATTTGTATAGGCGTCGATGTCGGGATGGGCATGGTGTGAGTCTTTGATTCAATAGATAAGGACCCGACGACATACAAAGACTTCATATCGATTCTCAAGACGTATACATATCGACAATCCTCTTATATACCATGTAACGTTCACTTTTGGATACTAACAAATTGCATTTGTTAAATTCATTCGAACAGGACGTACATGTACTATGTTAAGACTCATAAAGGGAGGCATGATCTAGAAAGGAAGCATAACTTGTGTGTCAAAACACTATATACGGTAAGTGTAACTTACTTAAGTACTCCATTACGTTGCTATCAAAAGCATTACTTAACATTTTTATATACGAAACACATAGTGCCTTAAGCAGAAGTCTAGGAGTTTACATTGTGGATACTATGTATGCAGTATGATGAGTAACACCGCTTTCTATAGGAGACACCCCTGTAGGGTAAGTTTGAACCTCTTCAACCTCTTTATATGCTCACTATGTTTAGATATGCTCACTGTTTTTATATATGCTCATTGTTTTCATATATGCTCGCTATTTTCATATATGCCCACTGTGTTTAGATATGCTCTCTGTTTTTAGATATGCCTAAACTTGTTTTCTTGTAGTGGCAAGATGAGAAAGTTGTGAGAAATGATCCACACAAAGATGACAACCTCTTGAAGCTCGTCGGCGACCTTTGCAACTTCATAATGGACCAGATTGTACACGTCAGAGGCATTTACCATGACCGAGCGACCGAATTAGGTAGGAATCCTCAGTACCAACATCTTCGTGAGTGGGAAAGGCTAGGCTTATGGCGTTGATTGGACTTGTGAATGGAATGTGACATTGATAATGTTATCGGACTTGTGGAAAAGTCGGACTTATGGATTATGTGAATGTAATGATGAATTATATTTGTTCTTGTGATTTGGACTTGTAGTCTTATTGGATATAATATTCTTGTGAATTATATATGTATATATATATATCTTCTTGTGAATTAGCTGTTGATATAATGGCCTTGTGAATCATATATGTATATATGTTTTGATCAGATTTGAATTTACAAATATGAATTTTTAGCGGGAAAAGGTACTGTAGGGGTGGTTCTATATTTGACCGCCCCTACAAATGAAAATTATATGGGCGGTTGGTGTCACAGCCACCCCTGCAAATTCTTTTATAGCGGCGGCTCGTAACACCAGCCGCTCCTACAAATCGATTTGCGGGGCGGTTTGGAAAACACCCCTACAAATCAATGATTTATAGACACGGTTGCTTAGGGACGACTAGGAAAACCGCCCCAACAAACCCTTATCAGCCGCCCTACAAACCCTGATGGTAGCAGTGTGTTTCATCTATGTTAACATCTACTACATCTACATAGGCATCCGTGTCCAATTCAGGCTCTAGTCTGTTCCTAAACTCTAATTCTGCACTAATAAGTTGAGATAGTGATCATGTTGTAGGCTAAGTTAAAATCAAGTTTACGTCTAAGATGAACTGTTTCAATAGCTTATGCTAGACCAAGTAAACATTGCAGCTTAATTTTATTTTAAGATTTTGCTGGGCAAAACGATCCCGTTCCAGGTAGGTTTGTCTGGACTGGTAGTATACACTACTCCATATGAAGGCCGTTTTATTTTAGGACGAACAAGGTTGCAGGCAAGCTCAGGTCTCGGACAATCCTACTACTCCATAGGCCAGCAAAGCAAACACGAACTAGCCAACATCATTTGCGCGTGAGCAGTATTTGAATCGAATATATGCTGAGTGGTCTCACTCGACAGCGACAGGGCACCATCGGCCGAGGTTGGTTAATTTGAGACGATGCTGCACCTGAATCGCGTTGAGTAAAAGATAGTATATACTCCGTACTTACGTAGTAATTTATTACTGAACTCGTTAAGCATAACTACGACCGGTAATAACTAGCACGGAGTAATAATATATAAATCCATACAACGTACACATACACAGTGACGACATCATGACATATATATGTGCGCGTGGGGGCTTTCTTCTATAATCAACTGGTAACTCCTCGATGCTTCTCACAGGAAGATTGAGATGAATGACTTATATTACCTATATATATAGCAATGCCGATGGCTTCACCGGGGAGCGTTTCATCAATCAGCAGTAAATTTGGCATTAGTAGTGTCTTACCAACACTTATTGGTGCAAAACGGAACATAACTAACATACATACATGGATCAGGGCAATTACAAGAATACAGCAGGTGACGGACTGGGCCAGAGCCTGCTGCTGCAGCAGCAACGGCGGCAGATCAGCTCAACAAGCTTATTCAAGGCGCCGGCGGAGAGGCCCTATCGGAGGAGGATCAAGCCGCCGGCGGCCAAGGTGCACCACGTCCACCCGGCTCGCTTCCGCCGCTTCGTTCAGAGGCGCACCTGCTGCTCGCTGCCACAACAACCCAACGACGACGCCACTGCCTCGACCATCTCCATCTCGGCAACGACACAGCAAGAGCTGCAACGACCGTCACCAGATGCTGCTATTGGTAGCAGTTATGCTGCTGCTACTACTACTGCAACTGGGGCAGGACGCCTCGACGCCGCCACGTGGAAAACAATGCAGGACGCTTACATGGCGTGGTGCTCCTCCAACGACATCCCGCTCAGCCCCGGAACCATGGCGGAACTATCATTCACAGTGCATCCCTTCAACGACAAAGGTTATAGCTGCCAGTAATCCTCCTGATGCTGCTGACTGTGTCACTGGACCAGGGACAGGTTTGTGTATGAATATTAGCTTCCTCTCCGCCGAGGCATGCAGCCATCTCTGGCTATATAGATGCTACTAGTATGTAACATAACAATGCGTAGTACACAAGCTAGTACTCGAGCTTTCATTCTTACCTTGTTTATGCTTATTTCGCCATAATAAGCCTCCAATGTAATTCACTTTCTTGGCGATGGTCATAAACGACACATGTTCAATGTTTTATAGTGCCAGTGCAATTAATTTTCTTGTAACTGTATCTCTACTCTATCTATCTACCACTAAAAAATACCGACCGATTCCGTCCACCCGGCAATCACGCACTCGTCCCTAGCGCGCTATTATCTAAAAATACTGCTTCACATAGGACCCACGCGATCACGCTTTATCATATACCACCCATGCAATAGATGGATTGAACGCCACCAGTAGAAAGGAAGCCGGCCCCTAATCTTGTGACATAGAAAAACAGAAAACCCCTCAATCACCGTGACTCCATCGTGTATTTCCCTCGACTTGCAAAACCCTAGCCCATCACGGCCGCCTCCCTCGTTCGTTGCCTGCTACCGAGCGGGCGAGCACCGTGACGCCATCTTGGTCACCAACCTACCGGCACTCCGTCAGGTCGTCTGGGTCAACGTCAAGTCCTTGCCGGCGCCGTGCGGGCTCCCGTCCAAGCGGCCGGCGATCCATGCAATCCAGATCATGTATCCGGCCGGGTCAGCGTCAAGTCCATGCCGGCGCCGTACGTGCTTCCGTCCAAGCGCGGCCGGTGATCAATGCAGTCCAGAATTCCAGATCGTGTATCTGGGACTGGGTCAGCGTCGTTCATTTCGGCGCCCTACGTGCTCCCGCCCAAGCGGCCGGCGATCCATGCAGTCCATCATGTGTGGACGTTGAGTCATCAGATAGCGTAGCGACTGACGAACGACGATTGTCTTGCTGGTTTCGATTGGGTCACAAATTCACGGGTCGCTTCTTCTTGCCCCCTCTCTTTACTGATTCAGTTTTTTTTTTATCTAGCAAGCATTCGACAAAATCTAAATTAATAAGTTTGAGTTCTAGACTACCATGCTTGCAGCATCATATGCAAATGTGCATGATCGATGCTGCTAATGAAAATTAAAATTTGATGGCCGCACTCTATCCAAAAAAATTAACAAATACATTTGATGACCAGCTAGCTGTTGTTGCAGCAAGCAACTAAAATAATAAAAAGGCTCAAGATATGTTATGATTTGCGTCTCAAGCATGCAAGCAACAAGGAGTGAAATTTTTATACGGAATTAATCATCAAATATTCTCCATGGAAAAGAATCTAAATGATTTGCATTTTAGGATGTGGGTGTTGCCTATACAAGATAAAAACATGACATAAGCTACCAGATGAGGAAGATTAGAGTACTCTAAGTAGAGATGGCAATGAGTATTTATTCCTGATTTCTCATGGGGAATTTGTCTATTAGGAGACGAGATGGAGTCAATTTAGTCCCCACTGGGCATGAAATGGGAAAAAACAGTCCCCACCGGGTCAGGTTTTGCAGGGACCAAGATAGGAATTTATTTGTTCTTGTTGCAACACACATTCAATTAAGAAGTGGTAGAATAGATAGTCCCTATATGAACACAGTTATGATATTAGATTGTTTCGATTGTACATTGAAACCTTGAATTATATTTTAGTTGTTCATCCTTCATGAAAACCCAGTGACATTTCTGCAGATTCCTATTTAGATATAGGAAATTGAATAGCAAATTGTTTTGGTGATGGTTTTGTAGTTTTTTTTATTTTAGGGTGTTCTCAAACCAATGTCACCACATGACTTAAAACAATGTGATCGATTTGTAACTGATGAATTAATTATGTGCTGTCATCATGAACCCGTTGCAATGCAGAGTTACGACCCAAGCAGCGTTGGTAGTTTGGAGAAGGATGTGTAGATCTTTCTTTTGTCCCTAAACTTTTTTGTTGTAAAGATATATACTACCGGTTAAAGTTTCTTTCTTTTCTTCCTTGCAAAGGCTTTTAGGAGTTATGACGCCCACACACAGAATGAGTGATTCACGATAAAAAAAAAGTATTGCCAGTCATGGGTAGAAGTTCAAAGTTTCCTGAGTTATCCGAAAAGCAGATCACATTATGACGCATATATTATTATTGTTGTTTTTATTTTTACTTCAGTGAATTCATTGACCTTCTTGATATTTGCTAATTTTGAGTCCGGTGTTACAGTCTCTCTGATATCATTGTTTTCCTGCAGTTTCTTCATCACCAGCTCCATAATTGATCTTACAATAGTACAATAGTTGGTCCTAATTATACAAAAGGTCACTCAATTCTACAAGGTCAGCAACTTTCTTGTAAGAGCAACTCCTAGAGACTCTTTATATTATTTCTAACTGATAGAAATAGAGATTTTGGTGAAAAAAATACCTTCCAACAACCTCTTTAATTGTCTCTAAATATAGTTATCTTCTATTCCAGATTTCTCGCTAGCCAAAGATGAGCGAGACTAGTTATCTAGAGTGCACACAGGATATAGAAAAACTGTTGGAAAGTAGAAAGATATAGAAAGCGATTTTTATTCAAATGGCTCTCCAAACAACGTTTTAGAGAGTGAGTTTTAGAAAAAAAATAAACTCGTAGACATGCTCTAAGTGCAGGCTTGGCTGTAGCATTTTTTCTGTATAAAATATATACCTTGTATCAAGAAAGCAAAAATAAATTAGTTTCTCACCACATCATGCTAGGAGTATCTGGGTAGGTGGTTTGTTGTTTCTGAATGTCATTCAGGTAACACATAATATATTAGTTGACATTCTACTATGCCTAGATTTAAGATTTAGTGCACATGAGTTGAAAATAAAAAAACACTTGTCTCCTTTGAACTAAATTAATATTTCACATCTACATATATTTGCGATTACATTAAATTAACCGCAGATTTAGTGAGATAAATGTCCAAGGTAGGTTTGAAAAATTTATTGAGCAATCAAGTAGGCCCTAAGTGCAATATACATTATTATACATATGGGTTTATATTATTTGTGCCACTCTAACATCCCTGTCTTTTAGGCAACATCGGCAACTAAGTCCGTCAGAGCTAAAGTGTGACAAAGAGCCACTTAATAACATGCGAGTGTACTGATCCATAACACCCCTTTCTTCCATGGACCATTTGTATAATAACAGTGGTCGTAGTCGACTCAAGGACATGACAAACACCGCAAGTAGAGGCCCCTGTATTGTGGTGATTATGGTCAGACCTCACATCTTGGACTTGAAAATTTTCTGGTTCATCTTTGATTGGTGACCAGGTGCTTGGTGCCCGTGCAAAGCACATTCTCCTGATTAAACTTTTAAGAGACTAGATTTTTAATTGTATAATATATTTTATGAACTTGATCAACACTTGGAGTTATATTTTAATTCTCTATCCTTCATGAAGATTCATGTAACATCACGATTATAATATGTTTTTAGGTAACAATATAACACACGCTCATACATATGTTTATCGTGATATTATGTTTTTCCGTTGCAACGCATGGGCATTTACCTAGTAATTCAAAGATACAAAGATCAGTCTCATGTTTATTTCCCAACAATAACATCAGAACAGAAAAAGTACTAAAAACCAATAGCCAATTGCATAAGCATAGCCAGCCTTATTGACACTTGAGTAAGCAGCATAATGTAAGACATCGCGTCCAAAACTGCTCATATGGCCTAGCTCCGCATGTGAAATGAGTCTACATACGCGTAGCACCTCGCTTACACTTTCGTCCTTGCTTCGTGTAAAAGGGTTAACCGGAGGTGCTACGATTGGAACGACAAGGCTTATAAGCTGGCCCTCGCCCTCCTAAACTTTCAAGGTGGTACTAAACCCAACAACAACAACTCCACATGTGTGACTTGGGCTACATGGGCAAACTTCACAACTACTACAGGCTACTAATGGGCTGGGGTGCTACATTCACCCATGAAAGCTCTAGTTTGGTTTTGGTGAATTGATGAAACCCTAAGTGCTAACCTAGTCTATCAAAGTGATCATGAGATAGGTAGCACTATTCCAAGTGTGGAGCAAATGGTGAAGATCATGATGATGGTGATGCCATTGTGATGATCAAGTGCTTGGACTTGGAAAAGAAGAAAGAGAAAAACAAAAAGCTCAAGGCAAAGGTGAAACTTGATAGGAGCTTTTTGGTTTGGTGATCGAGACACTTAGCGAGTGTGATCACATTTAGGATCGATAGCCGTACTATTAAGAGGGGTGAAACTTGTATCGAAACATGGTTATCAAAGTGACACTAGATGTTCTAATTCATTGCATATGCATTTAGATTCTATTGAGTGCTAACACCTTTGAAAGTGTTTGTGAAAATATGCTAACACACGTGCACAAGTTGATACACTTGGTGGTTAGCACATTTGATCAAGAATGGTGAAGTTTGAGAAGTGGAGGAGGTGAACCTAGTTGACCGAACTCTGCCTCGGGCAGTGACCGGACTCGGCCCTACGTCCGGTCAGGTGGCGCGCAGAGAAGGGCACGCTCAACCGTATGATCGGACGCTGGCACGAATAGTGGACCGGACGCGCAGGGCCTACGTTCGGTTCGTGTTGATGTACGTTGATGCAAGGCGCAGGAGTTGGCCAGAGACGATCGGACTCTGGACCGCGTTCGATCATGCGTGACCTGACGCGTCCGGTCACAATTTTGCTTCTCTGAATGTTTACTGGAAGTGATCGGACTCTAGGCGAGGGTGCGTCCGGTCATCTCCATAGTGCATCCTGTCGTGTCTTGGCCATGGCGCGCACGCGAGCTCTGCTGCTGATCAGCACGCCCGGTCATGTAATGGGCGCGTCTGGTCTTGACTTAACCGTGCAGGCATTGGAAGATAGCCGTTGGAGATTAGCGACTGAGGTTAAACGTTTGGCGACACGTGGCAGAAATCGGGTGACCGGACGC